GGCCAATGGACAACAACTCTGATTCCAAAACTCCCCTGCGAGATCAGTTGACATCATTGAGCCAAGTTTTGTGGCTGAACCTTGCCCTCTGCCCAGTACTGCTTCCTGCCTCTCCCTTCCACAGGCATTGGTCCCAAAGATGCCCCCCTAAAAACCACTCTGAACTCTAAACTGCACCTCAAAGCTGTTTCCCAGAGAACTCAACCTATCATTTACAAAATATAGACAATAATAATGATACACATGGGTCATAGTTGAAGACTAAATGAGTAGTTACGTGAAGTACCCAGCCCATAACAACTGCTTGAAACCATAAGCCAACTTTGTGATGAGGATTTGCGAAGGCCAGCCTGTTAATCAATATTGCCACCCCGACTCTTCACTGGAAAGGACTGAGAGTGAAAAATTCTAAGTGCCATAGATTGATTTCTGAGCTAGATAAGTTATAGAAGGAAGTGGAGAAGGAAGGGGACATCTGGACCCAGCCCTGTGTGGACCTTGACCTACAGCTTGCCTGCCAGGAGCCTTCCCATAAAGACAGTTATAACAAAGGGCTGGGTCATCTGGATCCTGGCAGAACATGAGGGCCAGGCTGTGATGGCGGAGGGCACAACCCTGGGAGTGTGAAGCCCGGAGCCAACATGCTGACCACTATGGCTAGGTTCCAGCAGCCCCACCACCATGCCCAGAACCAACAAGAAGATCAACATCCCAGATGGAAAGATAGGAGCCCAGAGACCAAGGAGCAAATGAAGACCAGCTAGGGACATAGCAGCCACAGTCTCCCGCTATCCAGGAAGCTCACCTCTGGCCTCCTCCCCTTCTATCAATAAATCTTTGACCCCCTCCAGGGAGGTACTCAGACCTGAGATTGCATTGTTTTCACTACTTGTGGGGAGAGGGAGTATAAATATTACTGTTATTTATACCAGCAGTCTCCAACCTTTTTGGCACCAGGGACCTTTGGCACCAAGGACTGGTTTAGTGAAAGACAATTTTTCCATGCAGTGGGGCAGTGGGGAGTGGGTATTACATTCTCATAAGGAACATGCAACCTAAATCCCTCATGCCAGCAGTTCATAGCAGGGTTCGCGCTCCTATGAGAATCTAATGCTTTCTCTGATCTAACAGGAGGTGGAGCTCAGGCGGTAATGCTTTCTCCTGCTGGCCACTTACTTCCTGCTGTATGGCCCAGTTCCTAACAGGCTGAGGACCAGGGGTGGGGACCACTGATTTATACGGCCTGGGAAAGTGAGGCTTATATACTGCAAAGCACCCTGAGGCTCTATAGAGGCTTTCCTTCCTGGATCCAAGCACTTTACTACCTTTTAATGTAGCTGTCACTGCCACTATGCTGAAGGAAAAACACGTGCATAGACAGCTTAAGCAGCCACTCAAGATCACAGAACTGGTAGGAAGTGAGCTGGGATTTGAATTCAAGTCTGATTCCAAGGTCTACATGCTTTCAAACACTTAGGCCCACATAAGGGAATCCAAGAGTGGAGTTTTGTTCTTTAGCTTATTTTCTTGTTTTTAAATATGAAAGCATCCCAGGAGACTCAGATACAGAGTTGAGAACCACCACATCCTGTCAGACCACTTCCCACCACTCGTGCCAGTTCATCAAAGGATCCAAACCCTGGCCCAGGCGCTGTGGCTCTCTGACTTCTACTCTCTCCTAGGAATCTGCACCTAGAACAGCCCTTCATGCTGCTATTTACTCACAAGGGTCTCAAATACCAATGTCCTCATGCATATGATTTACCCAGGCTGCTGGATGCTTCCATGCAACTTGGATATACTTGTTTATTTATTTATTTTTGTGCACTGAGGTGAACAATGGCACTGCAAAATTAAATTCAGTTTCAGTGGAATACAACAGAAAGAAGTCAATTATCCAGCATTAATTATTTATCTGGAGACAATAACCATGGTATTATTCCCCATGAGAGAGGCCTCTGTAGCTTGGAACAGGAGGAAAGAAGTGGCAGCTACTGTCTGCCTATTATGCGGCTTTAGATTGCATAGTAGGCAAAGTAACACTTCTGACATCCTGTAAATACACATGTGCCCTCTCTGTGAATGTGGAGCATGCTCATGCCCCCAGAACACACACATTAACAGGTTGCTAGGTCCAGGGATTCTATTCCCTCAGTGTTCTGGCTAGGCCTGGCAATGCCAGGCTGTGAACATATTAAAGGAAATACCACTCTCTCTCTCTGTTGCTCACCCTGCCCTATCAGAACTGTAAGGATGAAGACATTGTGAGAAAAAAACACATTTCACAAGCTGCAGCTTTTACGGCCAGCCATAACTCCTGATGTTAAGTCAGTCTGGTGTTTTCCTTCCAACGTATTTGCTGTGCAAGATCAGTTAGAAATCATGCCTTGCCTCCTAATAATTTGATTCCTAAATCATTTTAATGTAATTTAATTTCCTATAACCTTAAAACTTCTGAAGAGGTTGGAAGTGGGAGAGAGAGAGGGAGAGATAGGTCAGTGGTTCTCAGTGGCCTAAAATGGTCCAGGATCTGATCTTTGCCCCTCATTATCTACTCAGAGCACCTATTCCTCCTGGAAAGCAGAACTTAGCGTTGATTAAGCAGGTCCTATGCTCCAAGCAGATGCTTCATACATAACATGTTCCTAACAGCTCAATGATGCATGTATAAATTATCCTCATCTCATACATGAAGAAACTAAAGCTCAAAGTTATAGCTACTCTGTAGCAGAACCAGAAACCAAGTTGGAGCAGTTTGCACTCCTAACCACTCTCCTAAACGTCCTGATGATGGCTTCCCCAACCCCCGCACAGGTTCAGATCTGACCATACCAGGACTGCAAGGGGTTTTTGGAAGGATCCTAAAGCCCTATGGCCAGAGCTGCTGCTACCCACCTGGCTACACAGCTCCCAATCTACTGTCTGGGCAGGGAAGACTCAGACTTCACTTCAACCAGGATAGTTTTACTTTTACCTGGCTTAAACTACTGTTGAGAGTGTCTGTCTGTGATTTCTTTTTCTCAGTCAGGTTACTTGCTGAGGGTAAGGGGTCAGGAGAGGGATTTACGGAAGAATTTCCCCAGATCACCTACGTGAAGAGCTCTAACACACAGCAGCAGGCATTCAATAAGTAATGGTTCTGCATATGCAGCTTTCAATGTGTGACAAACACTTTGCATATATAAATTTATTTAATCCTCACATTAACTCTATGAAGCAGGTGCTAGTATTATCCCATTTCCTACATGAGGAGAGTGAGGAGCAGACGATAGAGTTCAGGAACTTGCACAGACCACACAGCAAGTAAGAAGTATAGCTCAGCATTGAAGCCAGGCAGTCATGTGTCCAAAGCTGGCCCCACCTCCCTGCCTCATGAAAGGCCATTAGGCTTTCATGAGGCTGGGGCAGGCCCCATCTTTAAAAAACCACATGTATTCTGGCAGGTCTGTATCTCACCATCTCTGAGATCCACCTTAGAGATGCTGTGTGCAAAGATAATCGGACTCCCATACGGTTGCTTATTCTTGGCTTCCAAAAAGCCAAGAATAAGGCTGGCTCAGGTCCCATCTTTAAGAAACCACATATATTCTGACAGGTCTATTTCTCACTATCTCTGAGATCCACCTTAGAGGTGCTGTGTGCAAAGATAATTGGGCCCCCATATGATCTCTTATTCTTGGCTTCCAGCTGCAGAGGAAATTCTTAGTGGCATTTCTAACCATGCTCTGAGTCCTCAGGAACATGAATGAGCTGTATGTCAAATCCTAAAACCTCTTTATAATGATTGATTTGGGGAATCAGACTGGTATGTACACAGAGGTTAAAACAGTTCCAGTAGACTTTTAACAAATAATATTTTTTTTCTGATTTTAAAAGCAACACATACCCAAAAATAAATACTCAATAATCAAACAAACAATATTGAAATCAATCACATAGTAAGATGAAATCCCAAGTAATTCAGACAGAGGGTTAAGGATAAAGGTAAAATGTCAGTGATACACGCAATATATAACACAGAACATTACAAAGTAAAACAATGGCTTAATAGTTTTACAAAAGTGACTTGGGTTTTGTTGCCTCAAAATAACCCAATCAAAATGTCTCAGCAAAAAAAAAAGAATAAATCTGGCTAAGCAGAAGCCCCAAGCACTCTGAGGTTTCTGAGTTCCTCCGTAGACCAAACCTACATTACAATGACCAATTTTCCAGGTTTTCCAGGAGTTTCCAGGGCCACAGAACTTTCATACCCAAATCAGTACAGGCCCTGGTCAACTGGGACTGTTGGTCAGCAAAGCTCTAGCACCCTGGCAGTTCCAACACTGGTTCAGGTTCAGGCTCCAGGACCAGCCACAACAAACCTACACCTGCCTTGCCACATCTTCCAGCTGTCTGCAGGCACCTCTGGTGGCCCCAAGTGTCTCCTTCTTCAGCCAAGATGTTTTCAAGCCCCTCTCACCTCATCATCCAGGCTTTACCTTCTGCTCAGTATGTACCTTTCCCACCCTCCCTCATTGTTCAACTCAGAACGACAAACACTTCCTAAGGATCAACTCTACGCTCAGTTATCTCCTTGGTGCTCTGGGCAAAGGAGAAAACATTCAAGGTTAGACTGACACCTTCCAAAAGGCTCAGATAGGGCCTACACTAATGCCAAGGACCCCCAGCGGCTCCAGCCCTCTAGCCAGGCAGGATCAGGAGCCTCCTCTGGGGTCCTCCATCTTACTAGCACACTCCACCCAATTATTTGTTTCATGGTGGGCCTCAGCATTAGACTTCAGCTCATTGGGGACTGGGATATGCCTGATTTCTCCATGTCCCAGGGCCCAGTTCCATTCATATTTGCTGAGTGAACATGGCATCCCCATTTTTCTGGGGAGGAAGACTTATCCTCGGCTTCCTACCAGAAAAATGCATGCAGCCTCAGGATGCTGGGGCTGGGCCTCAGTCAGGGTTCAGATGGGGCAGCCCTGGCCTGGAGTGACAGCTGTAGGACTTACCGCTGACCTGGCAGGGTGATGGAGTCCAGGTGGCGACCTCCAGGCAGTGCCATCATATTGATCCCAATCTGCAGCAAGGCCTGCTGGCAGCGGTCGTGATCCTGAAAAGAGAGGGCCAGATGGCACAACGTGGCCCTAAGAGAAGAGGTGCAATCACCTTCTCTCCCAGACCCAGGCCATAAGGAACCAAAGCAGGCAAAGAGGTAAGTCCTCCTAGGCTTCTTCTCTTTTGGAACCAGTTTATACTCCACTATCCTCACATGAGTATGGCAGAACCCAGATTTGATCTTGTTTCTAAGTCCCTGGCCCACTTTATATATCTAAAATATTTTCTTATTCCAATTGCCAAACATTTGCCTGACTTATTTTGGTACGTAACAAACATTGGGACACACAGTTCACAGGTATTCCATAGGACATACTTGTACTTGAAAGGTGTCTATGTTTACCTGAGATTCACATTTAACTGGGCATCCTGTATTGCTTGCTAAATCTGGCAATTCTACATTCTAATTCGCTGGCTATTACCACTGTAGAACTGGGTTATTCACTGTGATTATGCTTAAGTCTGTCCTGGAAAATGTGACCCTGTTATTGGCATAGTGGTTGCTTTCTCAAATCCATTCTACTGCGGATGATGTAATTGCACCCAAATTGCCAGTAATTGGTTCAGAAATAGGCATGTGACTCAATTTACGCCAATGAGCCATGACAGGATTGCTACTAGGAAAAGTATTTTTCTCTCCCAACAGAAAAGTGTTTTTTTTTTCCTCACAACAGAGAGCTACAAGATGAGACAGTATCTCTCCTGTTGGACTTGAACAAGGAAACATATCCACTTCATTGCTGCTAAAGACCGTCTTACAATCATGAGATGCCCTAGCTGAAGAACAAAGTTAGCACACCAAGAAAAAAAATGCTGGGTTCTTGATCACTAAGCCACTGAATCAACTAATGCTGGAGTCTAGCTCAGCCCTAGCCTTCTTATTATCTAAGAAAATAAAAGCTCTTGTTTGTTTAAGTCAGTCTAAGTGAGGGTTTTTGTTCTATATAGCCAAAAGCATCCTAATGAATAAAAGTAAGCCAAGTTCTTGGGACCCTCAATCCCTGCACTGAGGATGCACCTAGCTCCACTGGGCCTCACATTTGAACCAAAACCAGCTACCCACCTGTTTGTCTTTTTCTCCCTCAACTGGTCCCTGCTGTGCTCCTGGAAGCCTTTTTGCACACACTGTCTCTGTTTCATTTCTCTCTCTCTGCCAACTCCTCCAAGCCCATGAGTAAAGCCTCCTGAGGAACACGCAGATTCTGTCACCTTTCCCTGGGCACATCAACAGAAGGCTTACTCCATGATTACAAGGGGCCCCCATAGAAAAGAATGGAGGAGGAACACTTTAATAGTGATGTGGGTGAACACAAAGCACCCCTCATAATGCTGGGAAGAAAGAAGAAAATGCTCAACCTGAAAAGTGTGGGGAGGTAGGAGCCCAGAATAAACTAGGGCACTAGATAATTGCAGAGACTTGCTGCTGTTGCCTGTTTCTTTGTCTGAAGGGCCAGCTAGACTGTGAACTTCTTGAGGGCAGGCGCCACATGTGTTCCTGGCACTGAGCCAAGCTCCAGGCACTTAGCCTGCATTCTATACATCTGTTGAAAGAATGAGTGGGATAAATTTTTAATATATTGATGTTGAGCTTCATCTCTTCATCTGTAACTGAGGATAATAATATCTATTTTAAAGAGCTACTGTAATGATGACATGAGATTAGGAATGTGGAGGTATACAGCCAATGTAAGAGCTAAATAAATAGTAGCTGTTATTATTATATGTCCTATAAGTCTGCTATGTGCTCAGCTCTGTGGTCAGCTATGCTAAGGGAGATGCAGAAAATTAAATACAGCAGGTTATGTACTTAGCACAGCGAGAGGCTCAACAGGCGTTCATTAGCTTTCACCACTGTTATTTCCATCATTATTATTATTACTGAGAAGGTATGTTTTTGGAACCTAGTGAGCCAGTAGGCTAAAAGAGATGGCACAAAAGAAAAACTAGAAACAATAAAATGAAGCATTTGTTCCCTTTTCAATATGTTTGGCTAAAGAACAAAAAAGAAAAATACCGACTTCTCAGGATAAAAGCTAAGATGTGATTAGATGGCAGTAAGCAAGTAGATTTTATTTTATTTCCATATCTTCACCATTGATAATAAAAGAGGCAAAGTAAAAACGTTGGAATGGAGATTCGAGCTTAATGTAGGTGAGGAGATAGGGAGACACTAAGGAAATTCCACGGTCCACAGAAGTTTGAACCAATGGAACTCTGTAGGATAAGGTGAAGCATACATACCATAACATAAAGTATTAGAGGAACCTCTGGCTCTAATTCAAGCCATTTCTGAGGGACCCAGAGAAACAAGAGTTGCCATGAGTGAAGCCTGAATGCAATAAAGTTTTCTGAATTCTAAGAAGCAGATTCCAGAAACACAGCTCTATGACCACAAATTCTATAGCCAATCTGGATCACCAATCGGTGAACCCTTCAGAAAGAAGTGGTGAGCACAAGACGCCAGCTAGAACACAGCAGGAACAAGCCACGGCAAAAAAAAAAAAAAAAAAAAAAAAAAAATCAACTTCTTTTCCTTCAGGAGCCTCTGGGCTCTTAGCTGACAGAACTGTAATAAGCCTAATATATCTTGATTTTTTAAAGTACCCTAGTGAGGTGCTCTCATTCATCTTTTTTACCCATAGCTTCCCAGCAGTTATGCAGAGGGAGCCTGCCAGCTCATAAAGCCTTGCTTCACATGATCTGGTGTGTTCCCAAAGACTGGGAAGTCACCTTAAGGACATCTGATTGCATATGCATCACTGCCCTATTCACAGACTATGTCATTATTGGCTACCTCTTTGCCCCAAAAGGATAAGATTCCTTAATGTCTAAAGTCAAATCTTGCTCAATGTGGGATGGGGCACAGTTCTGACCCAAAGACCTGCATGGTCAAGAGTCTGGGTTGTGAATCAGATTAGCTGTCAGAGGAATCACAGCTTATTTTCACTAGGGATGAGGAAGAATATCTGGAAGCCAAGACAGGAAATACTAGTTTAAGCCAGTCATTGTTTATAAAGTGTCAATAACAATAATAATTATAGCTAACATTTACTGAGCATGTATTATGTGCCAGGCACTGTTCTAAATGCTTCATATAGTATTAGTTCATTTAATGCCATCATCATCCTCTGTTACAGATGAGACATCTTAAATTCAGTAAGAAGCACAGGTTAGTAGGTGGCAGAAGACTAGAATCCAGGTTTGATGATTGAAGGGGAGGTGCTGGAGCAGATGAACATGAGAGCCTGTGTTCAGCCTTTGCTAACAGACAACCAGACTCCATTCCCTAATGGCAACACCCAGCCCCAGAGGGCCCAGCACCATTCCCTCTCACCAGCACCTTCTACTGCTCCCACTCTCCAGACTGTGAATCTTCCAGCTTCACCTAGTGCCAGCCATCAGTGACACAGCCCTCAGGAAAAAAAAGCAAACACTGCAGCCACATGGAAGGAAGAAAGGGGGATATACAATGGGGACATTTCTCTTTTGTTCCTCATTTATTGGCACTTTTGTGAAAGTCACATAGACAGAGATAGGCCCTAAAGAGATCAGAAGAGGGGAGACCATAGTCCCAGTTAAAACTGCAGAGACCTGTTTAAAGCATGCAGTCCTCAGGGAAGATCCTACTGCGAAACTCCATCTCCAGTCTGAAGCTCTTTGGCTACCCACTCCCACAGCCCTAAGTCAGACTCATCCTGTTGAGTAGACATGAAAAATAAACCCCTTCCAAAGCTACACAGAATGTTAGGAAACCAAAACTGAGTTCAAGATAAGCCCTTGGTCCTGTGCTATTTGTCCTCATGGTGTTGCAAAAAGAACACGAACTTTGGAACCTGATAGATTCAAATCCTGACTCTATACCTGATAAGTACATAACGTTGGGGAAATTGCCAACCCACTGAAAATATGGTTTTCTCAATTATACTACACCCCAGGAACATCATGAGGATTAAATGAGATACTTGCAGAAGTCCATGATATTGTGGTTAGTACATAGCAGCCTCAAAGTAGTACCCTTCCTGTTGGAAGGAAGAGTTAAGAAATATATCTCAGAGCAGAGTTGCTGCTTTTCCCAGTAAGAGAGGTGAAAAGGACACATGTAGGAATGAACAAGGAAGAGAAAATCCCTCCATCACTTCCCCCAGGGTCTTTCCTAATTCACTGAAAATCCCACCATGGATCCTGCAGCCTTGTTTCTTCAGGCCTCTGGGCTGTGTAGCTCCCATTAGAAGTGGCTAGTTTACAAGAAAGACTTGAAGACTTGAGTGTCTCTGATTTAATTCAATGCCTGCTGTGACAACAGATCCATTTGGACAGCTCATTTATGTGCCTACATCCCATTAGAGGCAGCCTTTGCTCACCTCCATTTGGCTAACCACACAGGGTTTGTGAAGGAAATGGAGACTATTTACAGTAAATTATTCCATTAAAATCAGGAGCAAAGGTGGTTTCTGCCATTGTCTAATGGGCCAATCCAGGTACAGCTCAAGGTATGTCTGAGATTGCTTAATCTGCAGTCTCATTAGGGCCATCAACATTAGGGCTGTTAACATGGAAGGGACAGGGACAGGGGATAGTAGGAACTGTGGAAAGTAGTAAGCTTTGGCAGCAGCTCTAGGAACAGGGAGGAAACTGCTGTCAAGTCAAAGAGGAGTTGGACAGCACCAGGCACATATGGCTTTTCCTCAAAGACTTCAGAAAGTGAAAGGGCTGGAAGCAACAGAACTGTCCTGTCAACCCATCATTGTGAATCTCTGCTTTCGGAGCTGAAAAGTCCCTTAAAGAGCACTGCTTTCTTTACTGGGGAAGAAATAAAACTTTTCTAGTGTCTCCATATCTGCTTCCTATCTATAAAACATTTACCTTTCTTTATGACCCCCAAGATATGAACCCACCTCCTACATTTGAGAACTAGCCCTTCACTTATGAGTCTTAGTGAAGAGGAAACCTGCTTCCCAACATAGAAATTTAAAAAAACCAGTCACTTATTTCCCA